GCCATCGCTACTAAAAATAGAAAAAAATTAGCCAGGCAACTAAAAATAGAAAAAATTAGTTGGATGTGGTGGTGCGTGCCTGTAGTCCCAGCTATTCAGGAGGCTGAGGCAGGAGGATTGCTTGAGCCCAGGAGTTTGAGGTTGCTGTGAGCTAGGCGGATGCCACAACACTCTATCTTGGGCAACAGAGTGAGACTCTGTGTCAAAAAAAAAAAAAAAGAACAAAGTTGGATATTGAAAATATAATAAAAATCAAGATTTCATCTATTTAAATTAAATTGGGTTAAAAGGTAAAAGTTCTTTTAGTATACCTCTAAAATTGAAATTTTACTTTTTGAACTTCATTGAGGATTGGTATGGATTTTTTTTCCTATTTTTGGTTGCTCTAAACCTTCCTGAAACAACCACCTTTTACTTTGTCAGGAGACCCAGAAAATTGGCTGTGAAATGTCATCCATAGAATGATTACTATAATCTGGAAGTTTCTAATTAATCCGTACTAAGATAGGGTTAACTGTTTGGGATACCCTGTCACATGCATGCGCGTACGCATACTCTTACACACCAATGTGCTTTTATGGGGAGAGGAGGGAACTGTGCCAATAAAAACCTATTTACTCAATGTAATTAATTATCTTTTTAGATTTATTACTACCATAATGTGAAATGCAGACGTGAGATGTTTGACAAGGACATAGTAATGCTTCAGGTAATAAGTTAAAAAAAAAATCGAACTTAAAGGTGTGCGAGTCTTTTGCTTCTTGTTATTTCCACATAACCAGGTTAGTTACTTGTGATCACTCCCAAATCTCTCTCTCCAGCCTAGCCCTACCTACTAAGCTCTAAACTCATGTGGCTAACACCCTATAGAGCGTTTCCATCTAGATTTTCTGGACACATCTCAGATTTAACATGTTCAGAATAACTCCTCTTCTTTCCTCCATACATTCTTAATGTTAAACCCCCGAGTTTAAACCCCTTAAACTAATTTCAAAGGCCTGTAGTACTTAAACTACATTGAAGTTCCCTGAATTTGTCGTGCTCTCTCTTAAATCTTAAACTCTGCACATTTATTTCTTTTGCTCCCTAGATTACCCACCCCTTCCTTTTCCCTTCACCTAGCTAACTTATTTTCCTGCGTGTCTTAGTGTTTACTTTAGCATTATTTTCTCCAGGGATCCTTCCCTGACACGCTAAAAGTTGGCTAGGTATTTCTTTTGTGAGGACCGTAGCATGGTACTTACCCTGCTACAGCACTCACAACTCTGCATTGTGATTACCTATTTACTTTTCATCACTCCTACCCTACCAAATAATGACAACTATTTCTTCTTTTTTTGGTCCCTTTTGCCTAGCACAGTGCTTGTCACATAGTAGGGGTTCTATATTATTGCTGAATGGATGTAGTAATTATAGAAAAAGTCAAGAAATGTAAATTTTGGCTTGGCATGGTGGCTCATGCTTGTAATCCTAGCACTCTTGGAGGCCAAGTGGGGAGGACTGCTTGAGCTCAGAAGTTCAAGACCAGCCTGAGCAAGAGCGAGACCCTGTCTCTACCAAAAAAAAAATAAGAAAAATTAGCTGGCTTGGTAGCACACACCTGTAGTCCCAGCTACTTGGGAGGCTAAGACAGGAGGATCACTTGAGCCCAGGAGTTTGAGGTTGCAGTGAACTATGACAACACCACTGCACTATAGCCGGGGTGACAGAGCAAGACTCTGTTTCCAAAAAAAGAAAAAAGAAAGAAATGTAAATTTCAAAAAAAAAATATTGGTTCGAAATAAAATCCAGGTTGATTTATAATTTACAAATGGAATTAATGGAGAGTTGAATCTTATATTTAAAAGCTGTCACTTCAGTTTATATAGTGCTTGCCACAAAAAATTGGTTGAGAGATCTTGATAATAGTTTAATATGATACATAGTAAAAAATACTAGAAGTTTAATTGACATACCACATTTCTCTGAGTCCCTGAGTCCATGTAGCGATCCCCAGACAATAATCAGAGAACCCTGAAATAAAACTTTGGAACCAAATTCATAGGAATACAGTTACTTCAAAGCATTAGAAGGAAAGAGAACTCATAGTCCGTGTTATTCTGATACGTGGGTTTAGGGTTTGGGGGGTTTTTTTGTTTATGTTTTGTTTCACCAGCTTAGATTCCTTTCCATATCTGTCAGTTATCACAAGAGGGGATTGGGATTCGTGAACATATTGGGATTGGTAAACTGCTTTCTCCTGTGTAAACTGAAATATCTGTTGCTAATTGTTTAGTGGCTCTTTTGACCTTCCTCTTTTCCTTTATCTCAAACATAAAAAAAAAAAAAGACAGGTGCCTCCATGATGGATCCAAATCATTTCCTGATGATAATGCTCAGCCGCTTTGAACTTTATCAGATTTTCAGTACTCCAGACTATGGAAAAAGATTTAGTTCTGAGATTACCCATAAGGTAAGAACATGTTTTATGAGACCACACACATTGCTAAGGAAGCATCTTTCATTCTTTTTGGATATATTAATCGTCTGAGATAATACAGCGTGCACGTTCTTATCTCTGAACTTTGTCTTCCCCCACTTGTTACAGGATGTTGTTCAGCAGAACAATACTCTAATAGAAGAAATGCTATACCTCATTATAATGCTTGTTGGTAAGTTTAGATTGTTTGAGAAATTTATAATTACATTAGAGTTTGTGGTAGCAAATAGTTAAGAATTTCTGAACTATTTGTTTTAAGAGGATACTCAGTTTTAGGGGAAGAGAATATTCCTGTCATTCTCCCCTCTGTATTGTTGAGAGTAACAGCATTGTGCTGCTTTGGGAAAAGGAGAAGTTACAACCACTGAAGCAGAATAAATTGGAAGACTATGTTTGGGGAAAAAAATGGGGAAAGGAGAATTTAGCAAGCAAGGAATAAGATATTTAGGAGCTATTTACTGTTTTTATTTTTCTTTTCTTTTCTTTC